TTGAACTTTATATTATTTTTAAGGTTGATGATGAAACAAATCATAGGTCTGGGAAGCGAGGGAGCCTGAAAGTTGAGGAGCTCTGAAAGTCTTACTTCCTCTGGGGAGGATAAAAGCTGCGGTTCTTTTGTGCGATAATGACAGACTGTCAGTGTCTGCCTGTTTGCCTGACTCCCAGTCACTGAATAAATGCTGGTAATTGCTAATTGCTTTCAGAAGAAAAACTGACTCATAGCCTGAGAGTGACTTGCATATCAATGTTTCAGAGCCTTTCTGCTGGTTTTATCTCAGGGCAGGGAACAGGGCACTGGAGTCTGCGCCCTTGCATTGCTTGCTTCCCCAACAGTTTTGAGTTCGACTGATTGTCCAGTGATTTTTGCCAGGAGATAACATCACTGGCAGGTTTCAAAGGTGGGCAATGGGAGTAATGCTTCTGGTTTCTGGTCACCTGGGCTGCAGATCAGATCAGATCTCCAGTTGCATACACAGCAGAGAAGATGAAAGGCATTCAATCATTTCTAGCGAGTTAGTTGCAAGTTACCACACTTGCCAGGGGCTTGTGTCTTTCACAATGATTGCTTCTCTGAAGATACATCAGCCAAGTACAGATTGATGGCTCTGAGTTTACCAGCTGCAGCCACAGCCAAGTTCTTTCTTTCTTCGTGGTAACTAAACCTCAGAGGGTATCACCAGGGACCTTGCATTAGGGGCCCCATCTGTCTGACATGCCAGGGACATCGGTGAGGATCGGAGTATAGACAAGGCACCACTCAAAAGGCCATTGCTATTGCTTGTTCTGTCCTTGGGACACTGCAGCCATTTAGATGTGTGTATCTTCTGGATTGTAATATGCTCCAGGTTGAAAGAAATTTTAAAGGCAAGAGATTGCACGGTGGAGAAGCTCCAAAGAGTTTGAGATATTCCCTAAAGGGGAACCATTTTTTAAGTCCCCAAGGAAAAATAAAGCCATGCTCCTGACCTCTTCCTTTCTTTTCTACTCCATTCTTACACCATTTTCAAGAGTGAAGAATCATCAATATCTGGAGACCCACATTGAATATCTCCCTCCCTCCAAACACATAGACCAAGCTACTCATTCTTTTCAAATGCTCAACCCAGAAAACACAGACATGGGAGTCACATGATGGACTTTTAAGAAGTCCCCATGACCAAGTAGCACCCTTAGGTTCCCAAATGATATGATTCATCTGGAGCCAGCCCAGGCATGGTTTTTATTTTTATTTTAAAGCTATCAGATGATTCTAATGAGGGCCTGGACTAAGAGTCACCTCTATATGAAGACATTCTAAAATATTAGTATCATTAAACACCCACTTTTTTTTTTAATGGAAAGCTTTCTGATTATTGTCTAATTTAATCTGTTAACTAATAGTGATTTGGGCTTGGTAGAAACAAGCTCAGAGAGGTTAAAACATCTAGTAGGTAGAAATGGAGATGATCTTTTTGTCTCTCTGTTTCTAGTGCTCAGCAGGATGTCCAACGCTAGTTGGATATGAATGGATTCTGAATGTTCGTGGGAGCAGGGGCCTCACAAGAGAGAGGATCTTAGCCTAGAGGTGCCTGTGATCCTTTGCGAGTCCCTCTTTCTTCTGACTTTTATTGTCTCCTTCACTGACCTCGACTTCATACTGTGAATTTTTCTTTCTTGGCTTTTCTTTTTCTAATTCTCATGGCAAATAAAATATACGTGATTGATTTGTGACCTTTATCTACATTTCAGTGGAAGGTCTCTATATGCTTGGGGAATGAATTTTGAAAGAATTCCTCTAATGTGGAGGTGGAGAGCAAAGTCTTGATGTAGCACATTAGTTGGGTTACTGTGGATACTGTTCTCCTTCAGTACTGATTTCTTCATCTGTAAAATGGGATTATAGCAGTGCTGTTTGATAAGGTTGTGAAGATTAAAGGAGGTAATAATTTTAAAGAACTTAGTGTGCACAGTTTGCACTTGATGAATGTTCACAATATCATTATCACGTCTTTGTTATTAAAAGGGTGAGTGTTCTCTGTTAGTCAGCTTTGTGTGACTGTGACCAAAATATCTGACAAGCACAATTTATAAGGAGAAAGGCTTATTCTGGCTGACTCTTTCTGAGGTTTTGTCCAGTTTAGGAGGCTCCAAGCCAGAAATATGATAGCCAAAGGGAATAACAGAGCAAAACTTGTGGCCAGGAAGCAGAGAGAAAAGAGATAGGAAGGGGCTGGGGTAAAATTATTTCCCATGGCCCTGCCCCAGTGACCTACCCCCTCCAGCCATGCCTGATGCCTACAGTTACCACCGGGTAGTCTATTCAAACTATTAATCCATCAAATGGATTAATCCATTGATGAAGTTACAGCCCTCATGATCCAATCTTTTCATCTCTGAACCTAGCTGCATTGTCTAAAACATGAGCACTTTAGGGGACAGTTTAGAGCTAAATCATAACACTCTTGAAGGCACTTTTTATTTTCAAATAGTCATAGGGTCTTATTTTGACAGGCAGGTGGGATCCCTCTACCTCCTTGAGCCCTTCCTCTGCACCTGAGGCATTGGATCCCTTCCAGCCCCAGCTGATCCATGTCACATGGTGGGTCATGCAAAGCAGCTTCCGGTTTCCATTGTTCTTCATCTGTTTGAATTTAAGGAGCTATTTGTTTTTGTTGTGCTTGAACTTCAGAATGTGTCTTGGGCATGGTCCATGGGGATGCTGAGTCGGCAGGAGGGGAGTGCTCAGGCCCAAGGCTCGGTGGCTGAGGGACTAGGTGGGATGTGAGGGCCCCTCACCTTTCTAGAGAGGAAGGAGGGAATGAGAGATCTAGAGAAGTTCTGCCTGCAGAACCACTTGGCTCTCTCTGACATCTCTTTCTAGATTGTTCAGCTAAAATATGATCACTTTGTTTTTCTAGGAGAGTTGAGAACAGTTTAATGCCATAAATTCCCAGAGGGATTTCTCTTATTTCTCCCTCTCTCTTATCTTGGGCAGAATGTTCGTCATTTTAAAAATTGGCCTTAGAATGGATTAATGGTGCATTTAGGAATGGGAGGGACAATGGGAGGAAGCATCAGCCCAGCAAAAGGGCACTTGGGAAGGCTGTGACCTAGGTAGGACTTTTCATGGCAGCCAGAACCCAACAAATTCATTCAGCTCTTTCCATGGAACCAACCAGACTTTTTCCTTTGGGATATAATAATTCAGGCTTTCCAGAGGGGCACAGATGAATTACATTTTTATAAGCCTTAAACCCTCAAAAGATAATGGTTTCTACACTCTCAACATGTACTCAAAATAGTGAGAACATTAAAACAAGGAAAATACAGCAAGTTTTTGTGTTTTCCAGTGATGCTTCTTCAGAGAATATTAAATATCAAATTCTGTCAGTTTTCTTTATCTCAAACTTTTGGTGTACTTGCTTTGATTTTACTCAGAACACCCCCATCTAGTTTTAAAGAGAAACTAGCAGCTTTAGCCCTGATGCAAACATTAGGCTGTGCTGGCAGAATATGGAACACTGCCCAAAGCTACTACTGCCTCCATTCCTTGGGAGCCTCAGCATCTGCCAAGGCTGAGAGAGAAGTCTGCAGACTGGGATATTAGGCTCAGGTAGCTCAGAGAAGTTGGGCATTGTGGCTGGCTCAAGCCTCCCATATGTTGAACATGGAGCCTGATGCTAGGGAGAACATAGAATTTAAAAGACAGCTAATGCTACCCAGGTCAGAGATTAATTGTATCAGTATTCTTTAGGATGGGAGCACAGTGTACACCAGGAAGATACCTCTTCTCATGCACTTTAGTTCGAAACTGTTTTCTTTTTTGCAAAAGATATCTCCAGTTTTATTCTATACAGTGAATAATAAGTGAAAATAAATCTTGTCAGGACGTGCTCTATAGGTTTGATTAAAATTCCAGGACTTGTTTGGCTACTAGTCTGCAGCTGGGAGTCCCAAGATCTCCTAAGAGATGGGTAGAAAATAATGAAGGTCCATGAGAACATCTCTTCCTAACATGAACTCTAATTTCTTTTTTTTTTTTTTTTTTTCAGATACAAGTCTTTTATAGGAACATATGATTTTAGTTTTCTTGAGTAACTAGAAGTCCCATGGCTGAATAACATAGTAGACAGACATACAACTTTTTAAAGTGTTAGCAATTTTTTTCCAAAGGGGTTGTACCATTTTACATTCTCAGAAGTGTATATGATCCAGGAGTTTCTTGTTGGAAAATCTGATTTTTTTAGGCATGTGCCACATTCTGAACATATATGCAAACTAATAATTATGGTAAAAACCAGTAAGACAATATAAAGACCAGAAAGACAGTATAAAAAGGAAGAATATAGTAATTTACTCTTGGGGTAGAAGTGGGTGGTCCAGGAAAGTGTATGAAGGATATAGGTAACCTCTTATGATCTTAGTTATCATCCAAATCATGGATGACTTGTCTAAAAAGAATCCACCACCACAACAAAAAAATTTTTATTTATAAAGTTCTTGGGCAGTATATAACACAGAAGCTCTATGTAGTTATTGCAAGAAAGAAGAATATGATGCCAAGCAATGCTGGGCTTTTCCATAAATTATTTTTTTTGGGGGTGAGGTACTGGGGATTGAACTCAGGGGCACTCAACCACTGAGCCATATCCTCAGCCCTATTTCGTATTTCATTTAGAGACAGGGTCTCACTGAGTTGCTTAACACCTAGCTTTTGCTAAGGCTGGCTTTGAACTTGAGATCCTCCTGTCTCAGCCTCCCAGGCCACTGGGATTACAGGCGTGTCCCACTGCACCGGGTTCCATAAAATTATTAAGATACAAATTTGACAGTGACAGCATTTTAATCCTTAAAGCAGTAATACACTTTTTTTTTGGTGTGTGTGTTGGGGCTCAAACCTAGGACCTGCCACATGCTAGGCAAATGCTCTATCACTAAGCTATACCCCCATCCATCTAAAATTGATAGATTTTATATATAAATATGCTTATAGCTTTTATTTTTAAATATGAAAGGCTAGAATGAGATATAGAATTTTATTTTTAAGGATATAGTGAATGACAGGTAGCAATGACATGAAGTCTTTATTATAAACATTTTCATATGGGCAACCATTAGTCCAGTTTCAAGATTGCTAGATTTTGTAGGTTAGAAGATAAGAGGTGGCCTTTTGGTCCCAGCTTTCTTATTGTTAACTTTTTATTGTTCAAATTCTACTTAAGCTTGTGGTATGACTAGCTTCATCAGGTAAATGCTATTGCATAGAGGACAGCAAGGCTGTTAATGTTAGAAATAGTAAAGAAGCTTGACATTAAAGATCTAGGTTAAGCTCTAAGATGTCTCATGAGAAAACTGGGCTGTACAGGGACTTAAGATAAACACTATTCCAAAGAATGCCAGAACATAAAAAACACATAGATGCTATATAGATTATGAATAAAAGTTAACAGAGAAAGATCTCTGACGAAAGTGGGAAAGACAGTATAAAAATATTTACAAAATTTCAGAAAACAATTTCAGAATAAAGGAATATTTATAGGACATTAACAAATTACTCATCTTTAAGTATAATGAAGCCCCTTCGAGCTTCCAAAACCTTTGCTTTCTTCTCCTTTCGTTCTTGCTCTTGTTTCTTCCGCTGCTCTTCCTTGGTCTGGAGATGAGGTTGTTTATAGGTTTTCTTATGGAACGTAACTCTGTCCACATGTTCATTCAGAGAATTATTTTCTTTAGATTTCCCCCATGGTTTCAGCTTTCCTTTGTGTGGCTCATAGTTGAGGGGACGAGACAAACTTGCTTTGAGATCAAATACTGGTTTCTTATTGGAGACTGGAGTCTGCATTGCCATAGTTGTTAACTTGAATGGGGTAATAACTGCAGCAGAATTCCCTCTGTTGGTCTTTAAATTGGGTGTCCCAAGCACAGCATGGCCTTCTGAGGTTTTCCCAGATGTGGTCACATGTGGAGACTTTCTAGCTGGAGTCTTGATCATTGAATGCTTATGCTCATTATCTTTAGTAGCAGCTGAAAACCTGACACTCATTTTAGCTGCTGAGAGAGGAGAGTGCTTGACTGACCCCTTCAGATACCTAGTGCTCCGACTTGCAGGGCCATGTGATTGGCCTTTTGAGCGCTGCTGGCTGATTGGTGTACAAGTCACAGAGAGTCTTCCTTTCGGAGGAACTGGAGTTACTACTCCTCCCTTATTGCCAGGCTGCTTCTTCAGTTCATGAAAGGAGTTGTGGTCTTCAAAATGTTTCTTTTTTCTCTTAATATATTCATCAATGGACTCCATTTCCTTAAAACGAGCCTCATGAAGCTTCTTAAAATCATTCATCTCACTTTTTCCTGAGGAAACAACATTATCATCTCCTTGGCTCTGGTCTGGCAGAGAAGGAACTTTTGCAGTAGTTCCAAGATCCTGGTTTTTCTGCTTTTCTTGATTCTGGAATTCAGTATCATCACTCATTTTTACCTCAGAATGATCCTGCTGAGAGTCAGGGTGCCCATGAACTGTCTTGCACCTCCTCGTTTTGGTGATATTGCCAATTGGCTCCCTGTTGGCTTGTTCATGACTGTTAATCTGTATCACAGTTTCATCCTTGGAGGATCCAGAAGTTTGACTTTCATCCTGATTCTTCTTTTCTTTTCTTTCTTCATGTTTAAGATGGGCTTTTAAGGCTTTTAACAACTTGTCTGCCCTCAGGTTAGCCCGGAGGCCCAGACGCTTGGCTAAGTTCTGCAGGTCACTGTACTTGAAGGAGTCCAGCTCCTCCGCAGAAGGGACGGTCATCGCGTTCTACAATCCAACTGGAGAAGCGCAGAGGGTCAGTCAGCTAACGTAAACTACACCGTTCAAAACTCTGGCGCCACTCTAGGCGTTGGCCCAGTAGACCTTTATAGTTCGTTTAAACGAAGAACGCTGCACTTCCATTGGTTGAAAATGCCTCGAAGGCGGGGTTTCTTACGCTGACCAATAGAAAAACTGATTTTCCACTGGCGCACGCTCCACCCTTCACCTCTCCAATACGGCGAAGGCGGAAGGCCCTAGGGGCTCGTCCAAGCTACAGGTGAGCTGTGGAGCGCACCGCTCACAGGGTCTACTGAGGACGCGGGGGCGACGCTTGGAGCAGAGTTTGGTGCGAGATTGAAAGAGGAAACCGCAGCAGGAAGATGGCGGCTCGGCCGCGGCGGCATCGGTCTCGTTGTGCAGAAGTGTCCCGAGGTGATTTTTGTGACGGCGCTAAGGAGATGATCGACGAATCCTCTTTTACCACCTCCATGGAGTGGGACACACAGGTGGTGGAGGGGTCCTCGCCGCTCGGTCCGACGAAATGTGGGGCGAAAGAACAGCCAATCAGCCCGCTGCTGCCGTCGTGGCTGCAGCCCGAGAGATGCGCGGTGTTCCAGTGCGCGCAATGCCACTCTGTGCTGGCGGATTCAGTGCACCTCGCCTGGGACCTGTCGCGTTCCCTTGGGGCCGTGGTCTTCTCCAGTAAGTTGGAGGGCGGCTTCTGGAGAAGTCTGGGACGGGCTAGCAGAAAACCTCTAATTTCAATAGTTCCTATCAATCACCTATTTTTGGTAACTGGATATTAACTACTGTTCTCATGTTGACTTCTCAAATAGTGTTTTTTTTTTTTTTGACTCATCCTAGAAGTGCATATTAATTTTTAAATGAGCTGCTCAGCAAATCAATTTTTTTAGGGGAAAAAAAAGTCTGTACTTTTGCCAGGTGGCCCAATTGTTCCTGCTATCTGGGTCAGAAGTCCCAGGAGGAAGAGTCTGAATCATGGTTGAACATTTTTGATGAGCTGCTGCTTTGAGTTTTGTTGTCCACAGTGCGGCTTCAGGATGTATCATGACTCCAGAACTTTCAGTGCTGGGTCTGCTTCTTGCCTCAGCCTGGGGACTTGAGGGGCTGCATGCATGTGTGTGCCCGTGTGTGTGTGTGTGTGTGTGTGTGTGTGTGTGTTGTGTAGGAGTTGTTCAGTGTGGCTCTGTACCAGAGCTCTTGTACCTGCCATCATCATGTGGCACAACCCAGAGAATTGCAGGTCTCCCTGCAGACGTAGGCTCAGAGAGGTTGGTGTTCTTGTGCCTCTCAAACCAAGACTTGGATAGAATGTTGGTGTTCCAGAAGGGAGCGTTACATTGGCTTTTGTCACTTGGGAAGGTCTCTCCCCTTATTTCTGGGGGTAAACTCTTAGCTCTGTGGTTCTGGAAGGAGTGACTGACTCTTACACCTGGGTATGAACATAACTTTGCATTGTGGGTCATTATCTGAGAATGTCAGTGGTTGGAGTCTAGCATGGGGGCTGCCATAGTGGTCATTCAGAACACAAATCTAACCAGCCGACTTCCCTGCCTCAGTGTTGACCACTGCTCCCTGCTGTCTATGAAGTAAAGTAGGACATGCTAAGTTCTTTAAAATTTGGCTGTGGCCAGGCTTAAATGTTTTTCCATTATTCATCTCTCAAAACCTCTGCCCCAGTCAACCAAATTGCAGGGCATTCCCAGTGGGCAGCAGTTTATCTTTATCCAAACCCCTTTGGCCATTTCTGTAGAAATTTACAAACGAATAAGATGAAATATAAAGGGACAAGAACATATCATAAACCTCATCAAAGCCTTCTTCCTATCGTACCAGAAGCAATTTTCAGATGGTTCATAGACTGAAAGGTAGAAGCTTCCAGATGAAAAGAATGTCTTTTTCATTTTCTAGGAGGCAAAGATGTCTTAAATAGGAAATAAAACCAATTGTCAGTGAAAAATTAGATTATGCTAAAATCTAGCACTTTCATTCATCTGATTATACCTTTAAAACAGTAAAAATTTTAAAAAACAGAGCGAGAAAAAAGATACTTGCAAAAACATATTCCAATGAAGGATTGTATCTAGAAAATCTAAAGAATTGCAAGTCAAGAGAACATAACTAACAACCTAATAAATAGTAGATAAAAAGTGTACACAGTCACTTTATAAACCCAAGTGTCTTAATGCCAATAAAGGTAAGATGGTCAGCATAATTGCTATCAAAAATGTAAATTAACCCTTAATAAAAGATCACCAAATACCACCAAGATGGTTAAGATTGTTAAAAAAGTGACTATGTCAAATGTTTACCAGGATGGACAGCACTGGGAACATCTCACATATTGCTGGAGGGAAGGTAAATGAGTTAAATTCCTTCAGAAAAAACCACTGGACATGATTTACCCAACCACTCTCTCCTAAAGATGTGTATGATCATCTAAGACTATAAAATAACCTTTGCATCTGTCAATGGCAGAGTGGGTAGGTAAATCATGGCATCTCCACACAAAATATGAAAGCCCTTAAATGTCATGGGAGGGAATTGGAAATCCCAAGTTTTCAATTTTGTCCCAGGAAGTCTGTGAGTATTTTAACAAAATTAGCATGGATACATGAAAATAGATCTGTAATCATAATCTATAGTTTCTACATCCTTTAGATACATTTTCATATATATGTATATTTACACATATTAAATGTATATATTTTCTAATTCTATAATTATTCACCTATTAATTTTTTCAAAAGAATAGAACTCTAAAGGCATGGCATTCATTTCAAAAGTTACCATGAATGGCTTATTTGCTGCTCAGTTTAAGTTTTTATAGGTGTCCCACATCTGGGATGAAGGAGCCTAACCAGTTAGTGGACACTGTTTAAAAGTTGTGATTAGCAGAGCAAGAAAAACAGAAGAGAGTTTTAAGAAGTCACATCAGATAATGTTCTGCAGAAATGTGCTCCCATTTGGATATGTTTTTTTTTTTTCTTTTCAAGAGGTTCATGTTGATAACTCTTCATAATAGATTACTTGGAGTCATTAAATGTTATTTTAAAATAGTCCCCCCACCCCAGAATGTTTTCATGTTGAGATTCTTTTATTATTTTAAAATAGTTTTTCCCCCACACAATGTTTTCATGTTGAAATTCTTTACACATTGAAAAAAATCACACCTAACCACTTATTGTATACTCTAAATGTCACCTATTGAACTCCTTGTTTCTCGCAAAAAATTTCATTGCTTAATATATCAACAGTACATTTATTTTTGAAAAGTGGACAGAAGTGAATTTATCTGCCTGTATTTTCTCTGCCTGTATTTATAGCAGAGAATTTTTCCCCTTTATGATTTCATTGGATATTCTAGCTTAAGAAGTGATTGATGGTTGTTAAGGTTTAGGGATGTTTTGGTTCTAAAATTAGAAATAATTCATGGAGACGGAAAGTCCATTTCTTTTATTCCCTTCGTAATATTTAGTATCAAAGACATCTGCCAGCATAATTCTAAGTTCTTTTCTACATTACAGAGTTTACCTTGAGAAACTTCTTTCTAAACAGGCGAGTTATCACATGAGAATAAGAAAGACAAGGGAAATTAGACTTTCATCACTATTAGGTTTTCTTTATTAGTCATATATATATGTATATATCATACATTACATGCAAGAATATCACAATACAACCCAAAACGTTTATGGGTTCTGGCACATCAAGAGTAATGCAATGCAAACATTTATATTATTTTTACATACAACTGTCTTAAACAGTCAAATAGGAATGATGTAAAAAGAATTTAGTGATGTGCTTACTGTTTGATATTCTAGCCAACATTTTGATCTGCATATGAGACCATCATGATGAATCAGGTAATTCTTTTGAAAGCTACATCTGAACATCTTGTCCTACCTGGAAATGTGCATAATGATAAAATGATAGCTTAGTCTTTACTGAAAGTGAAGGTACTTATGTTTTCAAAAATAAAAAGACAGTATGATGGGGTTAGTACCTTAATTAAAACAGAATAAACAGAATATTGAAGGAAAATTTCCAGACATCACAATGAAAAGGATGTTGTATGTTTTTAAATATTATTCTTTGTTTATCAATACAATGAGCAATATATGTATTTGTCTCTCATTTTCCTGGTAGGGGCATATAGATGAAACAGATTCCCAGGGAAGTATTTTTGAAAGGTAGATGTGGGAAAAGGTCTGAAAGACAAGCACAAGAAACATGTTCTGCTCATTGTTAAATCTATGGATTTCACACTATGTTTTGAAAAATGTCGTTATGTTTTCATTTATTTGGATACAAAACCTGTCAAATATGAGCTCTCCTAGAACTTTCTTATGCGACTGGTTGGCATTTCCATTGCTCTTTAGGTATTTGGACAGATGTAAATTAAAATGTTATCCTGCCATGGAGCAGGACTCCAGCTCTCATTTTACCCTGTTGTTTTCAAAAAAAGAGATCAAATTCTGCTCTTCTGTCACGCCAGGAATGCATGGGAGAGATGCATGGGTAGAGGACTGATTGGTCATAACTGATAGGTTTAACTTGAAGCTACAGAGTAAAGAAGGAACAATTCTGTTGCCCTGCCTATTGCTGGGGAGGAAGGTAGTTTGTGGGCATGAATCTGTTTAGAATATGTGAATTTAATCATGACAGATTCTAACCAAGCAGATTCTTAACAACAGTTTTATTTTATTTTATTTTTTTGCCACTGAAATATTATTGGTATATCTTAAAATTAAATGTTATTAGTTGACTCAATTTCAAAAGCAATTAAAAACTGACAGCATACCTTCTCTTTTCTAGCAGAAATTATCATTGGATAGCAAAAATGTGTCATGAATATTAAAAAAAAATTGATGACAAGTGACATAGCACCTAATGTTTAAATTCACACTTTAAAATAAAACTTGTTTATTTGCTACATTTGATAGATTTTGAAGTTTCTTTTTATAAAGCTCTGTTTGCAAAATGGTTTCTTTCTTCATATAACAGCAAAATAAAAACAAGATCACTTGTCATTTTGATTAGAATTATTATTTACTTAGGTGAGAAGTTCAGGATATGTTCTGCAAAAAGAGGAATGACTTAGTGGAAACTCATTTCTTCTTTAATTCCCATTAAACTAATGAGAATTTATATGCCAGTATAAAGTGTATGATAATTATTAATACATTTCCATTAATATGAAAACATAAATTCCCATTCATATCCATATACATACCTATACTTCTTTTATCTTTAATAAATTCCCATAAAACAAGGGCATATGTGGATATGTGTGTATTTTTTGGCATATAATGGGAATATATACACTAATATTTATAACTTAATTCCTATTAAATTGATGAGAACTTATATCCCAACATTCAAAGTGCTATAGTCAACACAGACATTTTATGATAGGATTATTAGATTATGAATAGTAATATTAAATTCTATGGATTAATATTTTATGATGGTTCATATTTTCAGTGAAGTTGATGGTTTGAGTAGAGATAATAGAATGATTTGAACTTCAAACTAAGGTTGAAATAAAAAAGGTATGGTTGAAAGCATGTTGAAATTTCCATTTTATTTCCAGAATAAAATGTAAATTATGAGTTTACAAGTAACTTATTGATTCTAGACTTCCAATTAAGGAGGTAAACCCTTGCTAATTTTTGTTC